GAGAGAGAGAGAGAGAGAGAGAGAGAGAGCAAGAGCGTGAGGAAGAGAAGTAAAAAAAATGAGGTGGCGCAAATGAAACTGATTAAATATCAATGTAAGTAAAACAGGGGAGACAAAATTTAGTTAGGAATCATCTTCATAGAAAAAAGATCAGTGCTGAATTTAAGCATTTTTGTTCAGAAAGTTGAACCTGTGCACGGTTGATGGGTGCTCTGATATTGTTTGCTCCTTACTTCTTTCCAACCAAACACCTATCGTCCATGTCTCTACTATCTTTTAAAAAAACGAATGTTATGCACTAGTAACATATCTAACCATCGAAACAAAACTTAGATGTTACAAGGGAGTAACAAACATAAAAAAGAAGGAGAGATAAGGACGACGGATGTTTGACAGGAAAGAAGAAGCAAACCACACCAGAGCACCCTCCAACCACCCACACGCTGGTCCTAGAAACGGCCTCCACGCGTGCAGACAAAAGACAGACGTCTCGCCTCAGGAAAATCAAATCAAGGGATGGCCGGCAAAACTCCAAATAATGAGCAGTGTAGCCTTTCTCCGGGCTCGACATGGTTATTATGAATGTGCTGGCCCAGTCAACAGAGTCCCTCAAGACGTCATCCCAGGATGGTTAACTACTGCCGGCGAATCTGAACTTTCTTTGGGAGGGGGGGTGGGAGTTTGGGGGAAAAGGAGGGTCGGGGAGGGGGGGATACTTTGAGTTTGTTTTGTGTTAGTAAGTATTTTACGGCACTTGCAGCACAATAAGGTCATATGAGTGCCGAAGATTAGAGGTGTTGCAAGAGAGTAACAAACACAAAAAAGGAGGAGAGATAAAGACGATAGAAGTTTGATGGGAAAGAAGAAGCAAACCACACCAGAGCACCCGACAACCTACTTTGAGTTGAGAGTCTGAAATTGAGTTTGAGTTTGAAAAGAGTTTTACACGGTGCTTGCAAATGTTTATGATCAAATGAGCGTGCTCTTTTCGGGGTTTTTTTTTTTGGGGGGGGGCGGTTTGCTTTAGCATTGGTATGAGTTTGCTTGTTCTTTTAAGTCCTACTCACAGGCAAGATGGGGTGAGAGAGTGGGAGAAAGAGAAATAGCATGAGAGAGAGTGGGTATAAGAAAGGGAGGGGGGGGTGGTGAAAAATAAAGAT